AAAAAAACCTGGAGGAGATGGGAATGGGCAGTGGATTGGGGGGGCGCAAGAGGGGTGGAGGACAGGGGAATCTGTGGCTGATATGTAAAATTAAATTAATTATAAAATTAAAAAAAAAAAAAAAAAACAAAAACCAAGCAAACAAAAGCTGTGGAGACCGTGGCATCAGGAGTGAACAGGGGAAAGATTTCAGAGCCCAGTCCAGGCAAAGTGAGTTAGCGAACCACAGAAAAGGAAAGGCATGGGGCAAGAGATGGGGAGGGAAACGGAGGAAGAGCAGCATGTGGATGGTTAGGAAGTTGTCCTGAGAATTTGTACAAAACAAAAAGAATATAAAGCTCGGGGCAGGAAACATCTGCATGGAGAAGGGTGTGGGAAAAACCAGAGCCACTCCCCGGACCAGAAGATTCGGGCCAATTGAAGGATCGCATTATGATGGGAAGAGAAAACATTCTTTATACGGTTAGTCAAAGCAAAGCAAAACAAATCAAAACTTAGAGCAGAAAAAAGAAAAAAGCTTGTATTCTCTTTATAACTTGCTAAAATCACAACGTAAATGTTGCCATATTAGATCTAAGGCAACTAGCTCCTGCATATATCTGATGACAAGTCCTATGGCTTTAGGAACCGTAATGTACTATCTCATAAAACTATGGCTTTAGTACCACGGTTTATAAAATGGTCACTGAGTAAGTCAGCTTTCCATTTGTGGCAAAATTCTCCTAGTAGGAGGAATGGTTGTTTTGTCTCAGTGTCTTCCAGTTTTCAATCCATGATCTCTATACCCTGTGCACCTCACGGATAAGTCTAGGAGGTTGTGTGATTGCAGGAAACTGTTCACATCATAGAGGCCAGGAAATGGGTGTGTTTTCGATGAAAGCATCCAGTCTCAACATCCCCCTCAAGGGGAAACCTCCATCCCTCTATGGGGCCCAACCTTCTGAAGATTCTATCACTTCCCTGCAGCACCAGATTGGCCACCAATCATCTCTGGCCTTTGGGGAACTCATGGGTATAAACCATGACAGTGGCATTTAGATATAGGTAGACCCAATATGTTTTGGTCTCACATTTCATTTGCTCAAATTATCTAGTTTTGGTGGATTGGAGTCATGGCTACTGATTCCTTTGATTCTTGATTTTCTCACTCTGTCTACAGTGACACCTCCTCCCACAGTGTATGAACTGGAGATCCTGGCTTGTTGGGATTCAACTGATTAAGTGTCATAGGATTTTACATGTTGGTTTTGGCAATGAGCAAGTGGATAAGCTTGGTACCCTGATGCTTTCACAGCCCTTTTGGCAGATCTCAGGATTTATTTTTCTGCCTGCTTTCTTGATTTTCAACCTCCATTCAGAAGGCAAAGGCTTTTAGTGGCTTGACCTCCCAATTGGGTTGAAGCCTAGTTATGTTATGACTGCTAACATTGGTGTTTCATGAAAGCAAGTGTCAGCCTGCAGATTGTCGACAGCAAAGACCCTCTAAAGAAACAGCTAATCTGACGATTACATTGTATACCTCAAGGGTTGTGTTCAAATGTTGGTCATGTGTTACACAGTCCACAGTAATGTTTACCACAGTGTTAAGTATTCTGTGCGCAAATGAAAGTCTTGGTAACACGCAGCAACTGCAGGTGAAGTTTAAAAGGCCAGGTACTCAGCTCCTATCAAATAGACTGCTTTTTTTTTTTTTTTTTTT